GTCCTCCGTCTTCGCAACAATGCTTTTACTAAGAATTCTGTATATGGTAGAGAGCTGGGGCTATAATTCGAGCTTCAAGGTTTATTTTTTACGGTATTGTTTTTGTGACGGTAATTAACTCATGATTGATCAGACGAGTAGACCGATTGGAAGGCCCACATGATTTATTAGTGGACCACATATAAATCAGGATTTAAGCAGAGAGATATCCGATGGACCAATCACTTTCGAATCATCCTCCTTCCACACAAGTCGTCATCATTCGGTCCAGATTACAAGAGCAGAATTTCTTTGCAAAACCTTAGGCATCAGTTTCAGCATATCTACGTATCAGCAGAGTAGATGCGGCTAACTTCTTTGATCCACCTTATGGCGCCGCCAGGTGACTAGAAGATATAGGCCCCCTCGCCATTCTCAGCCACGTTTTGGTATGTGTTGCAGCGCAGTTGGAATACGATGTTGCTTGCCTGTATATAGCATTCTACGGCACGACGGCTGAGATCGATTCTCGCGTGACACCACAAATACCACACCGACTAAATAGAAAGTGTGCCGCGCGAATAGCAAGCTCAAATCGCAAAGTGAAGTCTTTTATACTTGTCTATTGTATGTCAGTCGGAATTTGAAATCTGGTGGCGTCTGGCTTTGTACCTTACACCCTAGTGTATGGTGTGAGTATAGATATTCAAACAGGTTGTTTAAATGGAGTACGCGAAGTAAGACGCGCGAAAAGAATTAATGAATAGATGTCTTTTTCGTGCGTTGTAATAGCTTGTAGGCACCCTGTTAAGATGTAACGAGCACTGGGCGAGAGAACGAAGCTTAAAGAACTTAAAAGAAGTCTACAGTGCAAAGTGAAGACGACTTGTGTAGGAGAAGGAATATTTGGAAGTGAATTTATTTGTGGGTTCAAAGCTACCTGAATTGTCTCTGCACTGATTTATATGTTGTCCACATATGAATCATGAATCATAAATCATGTAGGTCATCCGATCATCCTATGCGTCTAATTATTGGTAAAAACTCACCGTAATTACGCGGGATCGACTTGGACAGGTTTACGGTTTCCATGGTAGCTGATAACAGCACCTCAACCGTTAACCCGCAATACGCCCCCTCAATGCAAACACGCGTGTATGCCGAGCGCTGCCGTCAAGTCCTTGTGACGCGGTCCTGGCAGTCCCTTGGTCATGATGTCCGCCAACATAATCGTAGTCTCACAGTAATTTAAATTGACATCACCACGCTTGACTTCATCACGAATGTGATGGTACTTGATGTCGATGTGCTTGGCCCGACCATGGTTCACAGGATTGTTGATGCACGATTGGTTATCTTCCATGATCTTGAGCTCGGGTCCAGACTTGTACTCTGCGGCATCCAGAATCTCGCACAGCAATCGATACACCCACTTGCCTTCTTGAATCGTCAGACTTAGTGCAATGTACTCAGCTTCATTTGTTGACAACGACACACTTGACTGCTTTATGCTTCCCCAGCTCACCGGAGCACCCATCAAGATAAACGCATATCCCGAAGTCGACTTTCGGTTTGCATAGTCGCCGGCCCAGTCTGCGTCCGAGTAGCCGCAGAAGTCTATCTTGTCATCAGACTTGAAACAGATGCCGTGCGACTTAGTCCCTTGAAAGTATCGCAAAATGCGCTTGACCGCCATCCGATGCTCGACTTGGGGGTTTTCCACGAAGCACGAAACGTAACTCACAGCAAAGCAATGTCCGGTAGTGTCGCGGTCATCAAGTGCATTAAAGCGCCTACAGCTTCATGAAACGGGGCGTCGATTTTGGTTGTGTTGACAGTCATCGGTTTCCTACCAGTATTAGTAACCGTGACCGGTCCAATCCGAACCGCCTGTTTAGCTTCGTATTTACGACGTAGTTCTTACGGTAATTACCATAGTTGATTAGACGCGTAGGATGATGAGACGCTTCACATGATTTTTATGTGCACCACATATAAATCATGTAGTAAGTATCAAGCCCCGATAATCAATCACTTTCGAATTATCCTTCTGCCGAGCAAGTCTTCTCTGCTCCGCTTCTCAAGCCTCTTCGCTCCCTCCGGTCTCTTCCGGTCTTCTCGTCACTCTCGTGTCATACCTTCAACAACTAGTAAGGGCGAAGTCAGGGAGTGACGTCATTGGATGACGTCAGCGGAATGACATCATTGCATGACGTCAGTGGATGACGTCACTGCGAATAATAGGCTTAGAGGTAGTATTCAAAGTTGCGAGCTTAGTACCTATTGTAAATGCATTTTCACTTTGCGTTTTGCACTCGGACCAAGAAGTCTAAAGTTCTTCAAGGTTTACGGTTTCCACGGTAGCTGATAATAGTACCTTAACCGTCTACCCACAACAGTAATGATCACCTAAGCTGCGTCTTAAGCATGCATCGTGATAGTTTCGTTCGCTGCATAGGCAATGCTGCACGTCTACCAGCGCCTGAGCAACGCCCAGCACGCGTACCGACGTTGCTTCTCTTCGAGTTAAGGAACGATGTTGTCATCGATCTGGTGGAGACTGTGCGACAAGCAGATCACCCCTTTTTTGTCCTCTGTCTTCGCAACAATGCTTTTACTAAGAAATCTGTATATGGTAGAGAGCTGGGGCTATAATTCGAGCTTCAAGGTTTATTTTTTACGGTATTGTTTTTGTGACGGTAATTAACTCATGATTGATCAGACGAGTAGACCGATTGGAAGGCCCACATGATTTATTAGTGGACCACATATAAATCAGGATTTAAGCAGAGAGATATCCGATAGACCAATCACTTTCGAATCATCCTCCTTCCACACAAGTCGTCATCATTCGGTCCAGATTACAAGAACAGAATTTCTTTGCAAAACCTTAGGCATCAGTTTCAGCATATCTACGTATCAGCAGAGTAGATGCGGCTAACTTATTTGATCCACCTTATGGCGCCGCCAGGTGACTAGAAGATATAGGCCCCCTCGCCATTCTCAGCCACGTTTTGGTATGTGTTGCAGCGCAGTTGGAATACGATGTTGCTTGCCTATATATAGCATTCCACGGCACGACGGCTGAGATCGATTCTCGCGTGACACCACAAATGCCACACCGACTAAATAGAAAGTGTGCCGCGCGAATAGCAAGCTCACATCGCAAAGTGAAGTCTTTTATACTTGTCTATTGTATGTCAGTCGGAATTTGAAATCTGGTGGCGTCTGGCTTTGTACCTTACACCCTAGTGTATGGTGTGAGTATAGATATTCAAACAGGTTGTTTAAATGGAGTACGCAAAGTAAGACGCGCGAAAAGAATTAATGAATAGATGTCTTTTTGTGCGTTGTAATGGCTTGTAGGCACCCTGTTAAGATGTAACGAGCACTGGGCGAGGGAACGAAGCTTAAAGAACTTAAAAGAAGTCTACACTGCAAAGTGAAGACGAATTGTGTAGGAGAAGGAATATTTGGAAGTGAGTTTATTTGTGGGTTCAAAGCTACCTGAATTGTCTCTGCACTGATTTATATGTTGTCCACATATGAATCATGAATCATAAATCATGTAGGTCATCCAATCATCCTATGCGTCTAATCATTGGTAAAAACTCACCGTAATGACGCGGGATCGAATTTCACATCTGTATATGGTAGGCAGGGCTAGTGGGCTATGATTCGATGCTTCAAGGTTTATTTTTTACGGTATTGTTTTTGTGACGGTAATTAACTCATGATTGATCAGACGAGTAGACCGATTGGAAGGCCCACATGATTTATTAGTGGACCACATATAAATCAGGATTTAAGCAGAGAGAGATCCGATAGACCAATCACTTTCGAATCATCCTCCTTCCACACAAGTCGTCATCATTCGGTCCAGATTACAAGAGCAGAATTTCTTTGCAAAACCTTAGGCATCAGTTTCAGCATATCTACGTATCAGCAGAGTAGATGCGGCTAACTTCTTTGATCCACCTTATGGCGCCGCCAGGTGACTAGAAGATATAGGCCCCCTCGCCATTCTCAGCCACGTTTTGGCATGGGTTGCAGCGCAGTTGGAATACGATGATGCTTGCCTATATATAGCATTCCACGGCACGACGGCTGAGATTGATTCTCGCGTGACACCACAAATGCCACACCGACTAAATAGAAAGTGTGCCGCGCGAATAGCAAGCTCACATCGCAAAGAGAAGTCTTTTATACTTGTCTATTGTATGTCAGTCGGAATTTGAAATCTGGTGGCGTCTGGCTTTGTACCTTACACCCTAGTGTATGGTATGAGTATAGATATTCAAACAGGTTGTTTAAATGGAGTACGCAAAGTAAGACGCGCGAAAAGAATTAATGCATAGATGTCTTTATTGTGCGTTGTAATGGCTTGTAGGCACCCTGTTAAGATGTAACGAGCACTGGGCGAGAGAACGAAGCTTAAAGAACTTAAAAGAAGTCTACACTGCAAAGTGAAGACGACTTGTGTAGGAGAAGGAATATTTGGAAGTGAGTTTATTTGTGGGTTCAAAGCTACCTGAATTGTCTCTGCACTGATTTATATGTTGTCCACATATGAATCACGAATCATAAATCATGTAGGTCATCCAATCATCCTATGCATCTAGTTATTGGTAAAAACTCACCGTAATTACGCGGGATCGACTTGGACAGGTTTACGGTTTCCATGGTAGCTGATAACAGCACCTCAACCGTTAACCCACAATGCGCCCCTTAATGCAAACACGCGTGTATGCCGAGCGCTGCCGTCAAGTCCTTGTGACGCGGTCCTGGCAGTCCCTTGGTCATGATGTCCGCCAACATAATCGTAGTCTCACAGTAATTTAAAGTGACATCACCACGCTTGACTTCATCACGAATGTGATGGTACTTGATGTCGATGTGCTTGGCCCGACCATGGTTCACAGGATTGTTCGTCATCTTGATGCACGATTGGTTATCTTCCATGATCTTGAGCTCGGGTCCAGACTTGTACTCTGCGGCATCCAGAATCTCGCACAGCAATCGATGCACCCACTTGCCTTCTTGAATCGTCAGACTTAGTGCAATGTACTCAGCTTCATTTGTTGACAACGACACACTTGACTGCTTTATGCTTCCCCAGCTCACCGGAGCACCCATCAAGATAAACGCATATCCCGAAGTCGACTTTCGGTCTGCATAGTCGCCGGCCCAGTCTGCGTCCGAGTAGCCGCAGAAGTCTATCTTGTCATCAGACTTGAAACAGATGCCGTGCGACTTAGTCCCTTGAAAGTATCGCAAAATGCGCTTGACCGCCATCCGATGCTCGACTTGGGGGTTTTCCACGAAGCACGAAACGTAACTCACAGCAAAGCAATGTCCGGTAGTGTCGCGGTCATCAAGTGCATTAAAGCGCCTACAGCTTCATGAAACGGGGCGTCGATTTTGGTTGTGTTGACAGTCATCGGTTTCCTACCAGTATTAGTAACCGTGACCGGTCCAATCCGAACCGCCTGTTTAGCTTCGTATTTACGACGTAGTTCTTACGGTAATTACCATAGTTGATTAGACGCGTAGGATGATGAGACGCTTCACATGATTTATATGTGCACCACATATAAATCATGTAGTAAGTAGCAAGCCCCGATAATCAATCACTTTCGAATTCTCCTTCTGCCGAGCAAGTCTTCTCTGCTCCGCTTCTCAAGCCTCTTCGCTCCCTCCGGTCTCTTCCGGTCTTCTCGTCACTCTCGTGTCATACCTTCAACAACTAGTAAGGGCGAAGTCAGGGAGTGACGTCATTGGATGACGTCAGCGGAATGACATCATTGCATGACGTCAGTGGATGACGTCACTGCGAATAATAGGCTTAGAGGTAGTATTCAAAGTTGCGAGCTTAGTACCTATTGTAAATGCATTTTCACTGTGCGTTTTGCACTCGGACCAAGAAGTCTAAAGTTCTTCAAGGTTTACGGTTTCCACGGTAGCTGATAATAGTACCTTAACCGTCAACCCACAACAGTAATGATCACCTAAGCTGCGTCTTAAGCATGCATCATGATAGTTTCGTTCGCTGCATAGGCAATGCTGCACGTCTACCAGCGCCTGAGCAACGCCCAGCACGCGTACCGACGTTGCTTCTCTTCGAGTTGAGGAAAGATGTTGTCATCGATCTGGTGGAGACTGTGCGACAAGCAGATCACCCCTTTTTTGTCCTCTGTCTTCGCAACAATGCTTTTACTAAGAAATCTGTATATGGTAGAGAGCTGGGGCTATAATTCGAGCTTCAAGGTTTATTTTTTACGGTATTGTTTTTGTGACGGTAATTAACTCATGATTGATCAGACGAGTAGACCGATTGGAAGGCCCACATGATTTATTAGTGGACCACATATAAATCAGGATTTAAGCAGAGAGATATCCGATAGACCAATCACTTTCGAATCATCCTCCTTCCACACAAGTCGTCATCATTCGGTCCAGATTACAAGAACAGAATTTCTTTGCAAAACCTTAGGCATCAGTTTCAGCATATCTACGTATCAGCAGAGTAGATGCGGCTAACTTCTTTGATCCACCTTATGGCGCCGCCAGGTGACTAGAAGATATAGGCCCCCTCGCCATTCTCAGCCACGTTTTGGCATGGGTTGCAGCGCAGTTGGAATACGATGATGCTTGCCTATATATAGCATTCCACGGCACGACGGCTGAGATCGATTC